ATATCTTTCTAAAATGTAATTATACACCATTTATTTTTATATAAAATTATACAAATATTAGAACTAAACCCATTTTATTCCTTTTTTTCAATTTAAGAATTATTTTTAAGTTTAAAAACAGCCAGAATGGTTGTTTAGTCAAAAATAATAATAATCCAAATCATATATAGTGCTATACTGCCCTCTTGTGTTCAAAATCAGGTAGGCCTATTGAATTTATAAATATTTATATATTAGGGATGTTACTATGGGAATATTTTCCCACCGGTTAATCAACGTGTGATTGTGTAAACCAATTGTGTAAACCTCCCGCTGGGGGGTTTAAAAACACTAACTTGAAAGCGAAAGTATAATATGGACGTCCGCACAGACATTGAAATGGTGGCGCTCGAATGAATTCCTATGGAAGTAGAAATTAACTAAACGTTCGCTCTGTTCTGCTCGCTCGTCGCCATGGACGCGCACCATTATGAATGCCAGTGCAGCCGCATACTTTTTAGTGTCACTAAAATTAGTGCAATTTCGGGGGCCGATTGCTTGAATTGTGAGTTCAATAGTCTATTATTTTTCACGGAAAACACAACAATAAAAGAGTACAATGACAGATTCGCTTAAATAGGCGTTTTTACATAAAATAGCCTATTCCATCATCATCTTTTCAGTCAGCTCTTCACTCTCGTGATTAATGAAATTTGACTCCTGTTGCTGATATTTGCTGCAACTTTCGTTCAGCTCACAATTTAGTAAGCAAACACGTTTCAAATGTGTTTTTATTTTATTTTTGTGTATGTGTGTGTATATGTATGTATATATATAAATATAGCTTATGTTTCAAATATGAGTTAATTAACAATCGTTGGAAAGAATGATACTTTTAAACATAACACTAAACCGTCATTAGGTGTCGCCAGGCGACCGTCTTAATGAGCGAGTCATTGATTCATTCGTTTGAACGACTGAGTCATTCATGAATGAGATAGATGTTTATGGATTGATTGGTCATTGAATCTTTGAGTCAACCGATTCGTTCAAAATGCTGAATCATTCAGTAATGAGAACGCGTTGCTGTGAGATGCGCGATGGTTCTGCTGTGATCTTTGTTTAACTATTTTCGCTGCTGAAACAGAAAAAAAGTCAATATTGCATGTAAAATGTAAGTGATTTGACTTGTGTGTGTGTGTGTGTGATTGTGTGTGTGATTGTGTCTGTTACAGTGATAAGAGTTTAACCCTTGTTAAACTTTAGGCCTTGTCTTTTTGGATATATATCTTTTTATATTAAAAAATAGTCATACAACCCATATATTTTAAATGTATTGTTTGCTTTAAATTACATTAAGATTGTATGTTTGGTAATTGAACCTGAATGAATTTTAAATGAATGTGCTATATTTCAGATCATATATTTGTTTTCCTTAAAATTTGAACTAACACTAACTTTATTCTCATCTGAATGATAGATTATTTATTTCTGTATAAAATAAAAACACATTTGATTTTTCTTTTTTAATCAATGTAGAATGTGTAACTGAAAAAATAAACAGATTAGGGCTCTGTTTGATGACAAGAAATGAAAACCAATGCGATATGATGAATGTCCAAAAGATGGCTCCCACAGACTGTTTTTAAATAGGATTGTTTGATATTTTTTGCTTTTAAACTGTGTGTGTGTGTGTGTGTGTAAGAGATTTTGGTTGGGTGACAGTTGTAGTTTACAGTTTGACAAGAGTTTATAGCTTGACAAAAGCACAATGTTGTGTTTTATTGCAAGTGTACACAAATATAAGTAAACACTTTGCAGTTTGAATAATGTCCTGTATGAACAAAAGGACGGAGTATGTTTTTATGTCTACATTGTTCAATTACGCCACACACACACACACACACACACACACACACACAAACACACACACACACACACACACACACACACACACACACACACACACACACACACACACACACACACACACACACACACACACACAAACACTATTTTTCTAATCAGATCAGGCAAGTAATATTCTGTCTTGTCTCTTAAAAAAACAATATATAGCCTATATATTTATGTATATATATATATATATATATATATATATATATATATATATGTGTGTGTGTGTGTGTGTGTGTTTGTGTGTGTATATATATAAATATAGCTGCGAGCAGCGATGAAAGGGCCAAAGCCGGCGGCACCGCCACCCCGGTTATAGCGCCACCAACTGGCAGCAGGAAGTCTGTCACTTTCAAAAAGCTTTGAAATCACCTGATTGCTTCAAACTTCACTACTATGATGTAAACACACGGCAGATGTAGACCTGGATGTAGACCTGACCTTTCAGAAGGTTGCTCTCGCATACTTTGTGGTTGATATGTGCCCTCAATGCACACTTTTGCAGAGCCCACACTGATACAAGCTCTACAGCACACTTCTTTTCGACAGTCAAAGCAGGGTTACGTTTTTGCACGTCGTGCACAATAACCCTAAAGGCACCAGGGTGGCGGTGCCACCGGCTTTATATATATATATATATATATATATATATATATAAATATAGCTGCGAGCAGCGATGAAGGGCCAAAGCCGGTGGTACCGCCACCCCGGTGCCTTTAGGTAACTAAAGGCACCGGGGTTGCGGTGCCACCGGCTTGGGCCCGTAATCGCTGCTCGCAGCTATATTTCTTACTTGTATTGTTATGTAATATACTAGTATGTATGGAAGCAACCATTTATAACCCTTTTTTTCTTCTTTTTTTTTTTGTTGAATCAGAGAGTAAGAAATACCTCTGCTTAATTTCATCCGTATTTCTTGGTCTCTATGTCGAAACAAACACTGTATTGTCTTTCTCTTATTATCTCTCTGATTGGAAAAACATCAATAAAAAGAGTTCAACTAAAACATCTTGAATTAGGTTAATTTATGGAGAAAATGGAGGGAATTTATGGAGCCAGGGAATTAGGAATCATATAATAGATGTCAGAAAAGATGCTGTTATTACACTGTACTGTACCATGTTTGGTTGTATTCTTTTTTAAAATTCTGTCTTAATTCTGTATGTTTTGGTTCTGTTGGTATTACATATTTATGGTTAAATTTATAGTAAGTCAGCTGGATTGGCTGTCTCTAGTTTCTTCATAATTTTGTACTGTGTGCTTGACTCCTATATATATATATAAAAAAAATAATAATAATAGGTTTATGCTTACTACAACACCAATTTTAAAATTCTGTCCGTATATTCTGTATGTTTAAAGACTGGTACATCAAGATTTTCTGGGGACATTAAAAAGGGAGTGGATGTTAAAAATATTGCACTTTTGGCTTGTATAAACATGGAACTATTTGGTGTTTCCATTTCCTGTATGGGACGTCAACTAGGGACAACGTTCATTTTAAGAAAGTCACTCGAAACTTCTTCAAAAAACAGGAGCCCAGTTCCTGATTTTCCCTATATCATTTAGTTTTTCTTTGTCCTTCCGACATCCATGTTTGTGCACCACTGAAGTCGAAAACCTGCCACAATATTTGGATTATGACTTCACCACAAGAGCTACATCAGACATGGGCAACTTCGGTCCTGGAAAGTTTATCTCCCTAATCAAACACACCTAAACCAGCTAATCAAGGGCTTCAGGATTAGTAGAAAGCTTCAGGCAGGTGAATTTTTATCAAGTTTGGAGCTAAACTCTGCAGGACAGTGGCCCTCCAGGATCGAATTTACCCATCCCTGTGCTACATTATAAAGTTTCCTCATGTTTTGCTGCCTGAGGAAGAGCCAAATATGTGGTAAAAAGCACAGTGGCATATATCTGATTGAACTGAAACTGCTGCGAGTTTGATCCAACTTTATTTACGTCATTACTGAAACCTCACAGGCCAAATGTAGACCCTTCTGGCACATTTGGTGAGCTTTTTTCTTTCTTTCTTTCTTTTAAATGGTATTTTCAACAAGAGATTCAGGAGTTCACCTATTCAATAACAGGAAATACAATCTGACTCAATGAACACACACTATGAAACAACACAATGTCAAACACAGAAAAAAACATCCTGTGAGTTTTGTCAGGTTTTCCCAAGCTGTTACAGAATTGACCAGGATGCACTGCAACAGTTTAATGAAGTGAAAGAAATCAATCAAATACTACGTGCAGCAGGGATGACATAATTTTATAAGCCAACCTAGAAGTTAGCATCACCCTGGTTCCCTTACAAAAACCCAATATGATTTTTCCATTGGCTTTTGGATAATTGCAGAAGTTGTGTGACCAACAAAAGTTTATGGTTCTTACATGTTTCGTTCATCAAGATAATTTTCACAAATGATCACAACTTTTATAAGTTGTTTATTAAGTAAAAGCTTTTAGTTAGAATATTTGCAAGATTACAAGACTCCCAAAAACCTCTTTAGTAGCATTTAGACTTTTAAAAACAGCTTAAAAAAGTGGGGTATTACAGCTGTATTTATGTCATAGAATAAAACATGAAAATATATTGAGCTTGTGTTAGCCACAAACCTTATTTCAGGCATTTAAACCCAATTAAAACAAACAAACAAACAAACAAACAAACAAAAAACATTGACTTTTCAATGATGGAACTGGATGTGCAAAAATGCTTATTTCTGGGTTTTTAAAACCCATTTTATTTGTGTGCCAACTTAACATTTTAATAGCAAGCTAAATATCAATTGAGTCAATTCTCTCATGCACTATGGAGAACTATGTGTGTGGTGCTAGTGCACAAAAAACAGTGTCTATCAACCTTGTCATTTTTATCCAGCTTCACTGAGTCAGCAACTTGGTATATTGTTTATGCCTCAATGCCTCACTTGAGTAAATAACTGTGTGGTTAAGTATGAATGGTGTGTATTTCAAGAGGGAAGAGTAAATGTCAGGATATAATTTATCACCCAGTGATCGTTCCTCAAACTTCAGCCCCTCATGGACTAAACATCATCACTTGTATGTGTGGAGTTGAAAGGTTACAAGAAACTTCTCACCTAGTACCAAGAAGCGTACATCCTGAAAGCTCTGCCCAACATCATTCTGAACTTCACACCTGTATTGTCCAGAGTCGCTCGACTTTAAAGGACGAGTAAACAGTAGGGTGCCATTAGATGTGTCCACACCTGCAGGCATTGGTGCGTCCAGCCTGGGGAGCGACAAAAGACAGATTATCAGTTTAGAGCTTGTTGACAACAAGTTTTGCAGAAGGAATTCACCCTGAAGCAACCTTTGAAGGCCCTGATATACTTTGAGCAAAATCGAAGAAAGAACTTGTGTGACATTATTTAGAACAAAATAGGCCAAAACAAAGTTTGCCAGCAGTTTGTCAAAGCGTACTTTCTGAAAAGTTTGCTCTGACTTGAAAACACCTTCGAACTACCATTGTTCTGTGGCGATTTAGTAATAGGTAGGTGTGGCTCTGAGGCTCTACCTTCTTTGACATGGAAATCTTCTCTGGCTCATTTCTTCTGTTCAGTATGTCGAGGTCAGACACGAGTAAAAACATGAACGAACTGGAGAGCTGCTTTATAGTGGAAATTAGAGTTGTAATTCTAACTGAAAGAGACACTGACACGTTTTTTTTTTTAAAGCTGCTTTCTTTAAAGTAATCTATTGTATAAAGTGCTATTTAAATAAATGTAACACGACACCGCTGTCATTTTTGTTGTGTGTTCGTTTTGATATTTAGAGGAAAGCACATAGCACATATTTGACATATTCATCAAAATGTCATTCTCAGCAGCGTGGGCTGTTCACTAACAGTATACTTAACAGTATTTCGAACTTCTCTTTCCCCCTAAGCAAAATGCAAGTTTATCGGGGCTTTTATTCTCATCTACAACCATCGCTAGATTTTACCATTGCATTGACATGTCTAATAAGATTATGATGTAGTGTAGATGAGAGCACAGACCTGGTCCAGAGGTACAACAGAGCAGGTGGGTTGGCACTGGCTCTACAATCCAGCTGTACATTTTTTTGTCCCACGTACCATACGTCCTCCTGGCCCATCACGGTAATATCTGGAGCAACTGTAACATAATTTAAATAGTTGTTTATTAAAAATTCAGTGTTGCATAAAATTAAAAGGCAGAACGTGAATATCACCTTGCTATAAAAATATACAGTGCTTAGCAAAAATTGTAATCCTTTTCTCTACACAAAAAAGGATATTTTTTAAGGCTGAGTATTGACACATATTTCTTCTTGATTCGATTTCGATTAGATTCAATTCCTATATATCAGGTACAATGCATGTCAATTTTTTTAAAGGGTTAGTTCACCCAAAAATGGGTCACCCTCATGTCGTTCCAAACACCTAAGACTTTCGTTCATCTTCGAAACACAAGTGAGAAACTCAGAGAGATTTCTGTCCCTCCATTGACAGTCTACACAACTACCACTTTACGGTTTCGTCCAAATTTTTTGACGAGACTCTTTATATGAAGAACAGATTGAATTTAGGATTTTATTCACATACAAACATTGATCAGCAAACATGAACAGAAGCTCAAATGAACCTGATTGACAGACGAAAATAAACCTCATTGGTTCTTGCAGAAGCTCAAATGTGCTGCGTAACACGAGAATGAACCTCTTTGGTTCTCTTATCGCCCTTTAAGCAAGCATGCATAAAGCTTCCATTTACCATATCTTATGTGTGCCTTGATGAATGTTTATATGTGAATAAAAGCCTAAATGAAATCTGTTCGTCATATAAAGCGATCGTGTATCTTCAGAAAATTTAGACTAAACCGCTCAATTCATATGGATTAGTGAAACAGTATCTCTTTATGAAAATTTTGAAGCGTCAAAGTGGTAGTACTGTGGACTGTCAATGAGTGGGACAGATTTCATTAAAATATCTTCATTTGTATTTCGAAGACGAACGAAAGTCTTACGGGTTTGGAATGAATTTTGGAATTCACTTTTGGGTGAACTAACCCTTTAAGGAAAAATATAATGCTGTAAACTATAAAGGAAACCCCAAGTTGGTCCATTACTACAATATTAAAGGTTAAAATGAACAATAAACTTTGTTTTCTGTAGCATTTTTTTTTATTTCCAAGCAATAAAACTATAAATTATTTGAATGAGACATTAAAATTGAGCATGACACCATTCTCACGCTTTGGACTTGAGTCCCAGAAACAGCAAGGGGAGACGTGATTGGCTAACTCAATTACACAAAACCTCAGGATACTGAGGCTTAGCTGTGGCAAAGAAAATAAACTGAGATGTAATATTGAGAGAAGATTCAGGAGTGAAACAGTCAGAGAGCCTTGAGATTCACCCCAGCAGTCTATATAACACCAACATGATCAAATTCATATCAACATAGGCAGCTTTCTTTCTTATTGAACAATGTAAACAACAGTTGCACATTTAAACACTACATTGCAAATAAATTATCTAATCAAGACATTTTCATATTTTTCAGTAAAATACTGTATATAAACATTTTTTAAATGTAAAAGATTTACTTGAGAAGAATAATTACATAAGATGTTTAGACTTATATTAAGAAAATATATCTTGCATTACATTTAGATTTCTTGCCACAATATCAAATTGTTTTGCTCTTATTTTAATCTTAGATATCACCATATTTATGTAAGATTTATGTTTTAAACAAAACTTACTATCTTAAAATTTTGCTTTAAGTAAATATATTGTGTTTTAATGATATATTAGATATTGTTACTGGAAATCAAAATTTTGCATGGTCAGCTCTGTCTATGATTAAACCATTAGTATTAATACATGTATGAGGTTGTAAAGCTCAAAAGTAGTTTTCTCACTTTTAAACACTTTGGAAGGCAATTTGTGATTTAATAAGTACTAAAGCCTCTCTCTGTCAGTATGAACTCTCCCTCTTGTATTTCCGTTCCTGTTGCTGCCCTTGCTGTGCTCAGATCAATATTTCATAAAGCGCCTCCATTAAGCTGCACGCTGTTCGAACAGACAGCAGCCAACAGTTCAAGATGCCAAAGAAAAGCGCATTGAGAATTAATAAAGGTGATGATACACAGGGCAACTTTTTGAGCAATGTTGCTGGGCAATCTAGCCGAGCGATTGTTGCTTGGGCATTTTCCCATTGAAAATGGGCAATACATTTCTATCTGGATAATTTAGGTTGGTCGTGGGCCCTGTGTCTCATCTGGTTGCCCGTTGATGGCAACATTGCCCAGCAACATTGCGCAAAAAGTAGCCCTGTGAACTTTCGGCCGTTAAAATAACTCCTATATTGAGAGTGTCAAAAGTGAGCTATCAGTGCTCATTGTAACATACAGAAAACCTATGGAACGAGTAAAATGAGAACGTAAATAAAAGCTATTCACACTCACAAAACACATTGAGCTTGTAGGGAATGCGGAAATCTTTGGATAGGGCTGGGTGACGAACAACGCAGCTGAGAGAACGGCCAAATGCATCCCGGCTGGGGGCCAAGATGTAGTGTACTAAAGTGGTGGTAGTGCCTTCAGGCTCCTTCTGCGAGACGACTGATGTCTGACCCGGTAGGTCTGATTCCCAGAACACCTCTGCCGCTGGGCGACCCCTTTCAGCTGTACATGTCGCCACCAGTGTTTCACCATCTCCAGCCAGCAGAGACAAGGAGCCAGGAGATACATAGACCTTTGGCTCCACTAAAGGGAAAAAAAGAGAAAGAGATAAAAACAAAACTGAACAATAAACTCTAAACTAAACAATGCCAACAGGCTTTCACCACATTTAAAAAACTGTTTAACTGTTTTGATATATTTTTTTTTACATATTTTAATATATAATATAATGCAGATTATTTATTAAAAACTGTTTTACATTTTGTAAGTTCTACTTTTTACATTTTGGTGAGCATTAAACAAAATATATGTATAATCTCGAGATCAGTAAGATTTCAACAATTTTTTTAAAAAATGCCGTTCTTTTGAAGGTTTCCATAAAAGTATTAAGCATCACAACGGTCTTCAACATTGATAATAAGAAATGTTTCTTGAGCAGCAAATCAGCATTTTAGAATGATTTCTGAAGGATCATGTGACACTGAAGACTGGAGTTATGCTGAAAATTCCACTTCGAATCACAGGAATAAATTAGATTTAAAAATATGTTAAAATAGAAAACCGTTATTTTAAATTGTAATAATATTTCACAATATTACTGTTTTTACTGTACTTTTGATAAAAAAAATCCAGCCTTGGTGAACATTATAATACATAAAACACACAAAAAATATTACCAACCCTAAACTTTTGAATGGAACTGTATAGAAATACATTTGAAAGAAAGTTAAATAAAATAAATCAATTTTTGTATTATTTAATACAGACCTTGACTACAAGATTACTCTAAATGCACATCCCTCAAGAAAACAACAAATAAATAATAAAAATATGAAAGGGTCAGGAAGAACTGTTCAAAATGTGTTATTGATATTGAACCTAAAGGATGATATACAACAAGATGAATGAATAAGGAAGGGGGAAAAAAGTAATGTAAAGGGTGGAAAGAGGCCTTTGTACACTCAGAATTGATTGATTACCCCAACCCCACAAATTCACATTAAAAATAGATGATCTAAAATTACAGAGAAGTACCACAACATCACTGAGTGCATCTGAGTGGCTTCTGTCTCTACAGATAAGTGGCATATTAGTGTCTTAATAATACTGAGAGAGTCTACATGGATTTACAGAGAACAAAAGGAAATACACATCATGTATTACAGCTGAATCAATCATTGTGAAATGTTTTGCTGCCATGATTTGTTCAGCTGCACTGTGCAATAAAACCCCACACTTGTTGAATTAAAACAACTGACTTAATTTCAACTATTTTTATTTCTGAAAAAAACAAACATTAGACCACCATTCACATCAAAGGTTGCATTCACACTACAAGACAGTGTCCAATTTCGATTTTCTTCTCAAATTAGTTTTTTTATATATATTTTTTGTTTAGATGTTTACAGGACCTTATAAATGTGGCCCATATGGTCTAGCAATACACATGCATATAACACCTTACTCTGGTATGTTTATAAGGTACTCAATGTGATATCATATGTCATTATAACATGAAATTAGAAGATCTTATAGTCTTACTTAAATGCATCAGGATTAACATTACCAACTGTGACATGCTCTTTAAAATAATCATAATAACCATATACTGAAAATCTGTGATATTTTTTTAAACAGATACATTTATACATTTCTGTTTTATTTTATATAGTAAACATTTTTTTTAAATACAATTATTTTTTTAATTGACAAGTGATAATAATCACAACAGATTTGAATAACTATATATTAATAAACATATAAACCACAATATTATATTGAATCATGATGCAATATTGACATTATAATGCATTTATAGGTCTTTGAGTGAGTTTCACCATTAATGGATGCAGAAATCACACGGCATACAAATCTGACACATTTTTGATTAACGGTATTTCCACATACACTACCGTTCAAAGGTTTTGGGTCTGTAAGGTTTTTTAAAGGTTTTGTATAAAAATACAGAAAAAACTGTAATATTGTGAAAAAATTTTTTTCTTACTTTTTTTCTATTTGTAATATTTTTCTAAAATGTAATTTATTCCTGATGCAAAGCTGAATTTTCAGCATCATTACTCCAGTCTTCAGTGTCACATGATTCTTCAGAAATCATTATGCTGATTTGATGCTCAGGAAACATTTATTATTATAATCAATGTTGAAAACAGTGCTGCTTAATATTTTTGTGGAAACCATGATACATAATTTTTCAGGATTCTTTGATGAATAGAAAGTTCAAATGAACAGCATTTATTTTAAATAGAAACCTTTTGTAACATTATAATTTACATAACTTTACATAACTTTGTAACATTGTAACATTACATAACTTTTTATAATTTAATGCATCCTTGCTGAATAAAAGTATTAAAGTGTAAAAATCTATTAGTGTACTAAATGAAAATCGGCACAAAATTGTTCAGATACAATGTGATTTTTGCTGTTTGAGATTTGACCCACAGTGTTGTGAACACAGCCATAATATCCTTTATTAATAAAAACGTATTACCAATTTTCATTTGTCCTTTTCCCTCTTTCCTTTCTCCATACTCTCTCTAGAGAATTGCAACAGCTGTGCTCTTAAGAAACAGTTTTACCATGTGGGCCAGGAACGTCAACTTAATCCTACACGCAAGGCCGTCTGCTCCACACACCTGTTCTACTCTGTTTACAGGCCGCTCCTGTATACAAGAAATCTAAATAACCCCATGGACCCCGATGCTAAATATAGCCCTGCGGCACCTGAACGGGGGGGGGAACCACAGTGCATCACTGACATCTGAGTGCCAAGATCAGACCCACCCTGCATTCATCCAACCTGAACCCTATGCCATCTGCATCACACTGGATATTTGCTGACTCAGAGCTTGCAGGGGCATCTTGGCAACTCATTCACACCCAACCCTCCTGATAGAAGAAATAAAGAGCCAGCTGATCTGATGGCGCAGGTTGTGGTTGTGGGCCCTGGAGAGGGCCAGGGTATTGATTTATCATCAAACAGGGCAGGATTTAGGGCTGGGTCACTGTCGCCTACATAAATCCAGACCCAAAACATTCCTGTTCTGGGTTGCAGACCACGGCTGTCGCCAAAACCGCTGTTCCTCAAACAATTTCTGTCATTATAATGGACTGCAAGTGAAAGCACAATAATTGTGTTAAAAAAAAGGAAGAGAATGAATTGTGGGTACAAATTACACCGCTTAGCTTGCGTGCAACATCTGATGTGTTTTATTGTAAAAATTCACACGGTCACTGAGAATTCCAGCGATGACTCATCACTGTTAAATTTACAGGAATAGGAATGGCGGCTTTAAGCTTGTGTCCACTGGCTTTTATAGTTTTAGGGTTTTGAGTAAATTTCTCCTTTTTCTTTGAAAATGCCACGGAAAAATACGGCGTTGCTATAACGTCTGAATCTGCAATGCCATTACAGACTGGATTGATAAAATTCAAACTTTTGGTTACCACTTACAATAAGGACAAGATTAGCTTTGGGTTTTTTATGTTTTGCAGGAACGCAGGAAATAAACAAGGAGAAAAAAAATGGCGCCCCACAATACAAAAATAGAACAAGGAATGTACTATCATGCCAGTGTGTGACAGATATTTTTGTCATCTCTGTGGCGTTTGACAACACTTCATTTCACTAAAGCAGAAAAGGGGCCGTTTGAAGGGTGTTTCCACCCCTTTCTATAATTACAATACACAAAAATAAGCCATTTCAACACAAGTTTCTAAATCATAACTTCCCTATAATTCCAGTCTTGTTTTCAATAGAGAATTTTTGGAATGGTAGTTAATTACTTTTAAGTGCCTTGCATAAATAAATGCATAAATAAATAAATGTGTTTATCTATGCTTTGATATTGCTTATGCTTTTTTGAGCTTAAAACCAAACAAACAAACTTTGGAAAAATAAATAAGGATGGATGGATTTATGACACAACAAGCTATAGGGTTCAGGAGGATTTCTAATGTGTTACCAAATGATTCACCTGAAAGAATTCACAACTAGATCACAAAGATGTACTTACCCATAATGTCCACAGTTGTAGATGCCTGCATGTTTCCAAGTTGGAAGGTGACCACTTTACAAGTGTAGGTCCCAATGTCGGCAAAACTCATGCCCTCCAGGACAATGGACACATCATGCATTGAAGGCTTGAGGAAGTGCACCCGTCTGCTGTACTCCTCAGCTATGGAGGTCCCGTACTGGGGGTTGAAGACGGCCAAAGTGACGGTGCCGGAGGGCAGCCGGCGTTCCCAGGAACTCTGGGTCAGGCTGAGGTCTGTGCTGACCTCCACCCTACAGGTCAAAGTAACGTTTTTCCCCAGCACTGCCGTCACCTGCTCAGGAACCACCACCTTGTTGGCCCACACACCTGGTGAGATACAGATCATCAGGAATAATGATACAGGAGATATATCAACAGTCTACAAAACAGGTTTTTTTTGGTTTGTTTAGATTTTAAGATTTTTTTTTTTTTTTGCATGTCATTTGTATTGCTGCCATCTTAAACGGGTCACACTTATAAAAGAGATTTTTAATGATTCTTATCCTCCTGGTTATATAAAACCTTGTGTCCAAGCCTCCATTACTAATAAAAAAAAATGTCATGTTAGAACTAGAAACAGCTTGGGCCATTTCTGATAAGCTAACAAGGAGGCAGCATGGTGCAGTTCATCAGTTTAATAAGCAAATCAATATTGAGTAACTTACATTTTAAACACAATATTTCTAGATAATTTGTCTGTTTTTTGTAAATAGTTCCAAACAATGCCAAAGCCACAGCGTATTGGAGCAACACACAATAGTAGTGCTTAGTTCCTGAACGAATCAAGAGTTTTTGAATGAATCTGTTGAATGATTCAGTGACTCGTGCACACCACACCTACTGGCGTAACTATGTAATTAGCAAAAAGAGTCATTGAAAAATCTCCACCACTAATGCACAGACTGACAGTCTGTTTGGAACAAACACAGACTAGTGGAGGCAAGGCGAGATTATTTATAAAGCACATTTCATACACAATGGTAATTCAAAACGCTTTACATTGAAAACAAAGGAATTAAAATAGTCATAAAATAATCACAACTGATGCATAAGAAGTAAAAATATCATGCATAAGAAATACAAATAAATATTGAAGTAGAGAGTCCTGAATCATTAAATTTGGGGCGCCCCTGTCTGAAAAGATGAGTCAGAGAGCTAAGGTTCGCGGGACACACTAGTAGCAACTCCCGGCTTCTTAGGGCCCTTACATAGTCAACGCATCGGTACGCATACGCGTGCGCAAGGCTACACATCGCTACGCTTCGGCCGCCAATATGCGTCGATGTGTAGCCAAATGTGTCATCCTAGTTTTTGATACGCGACGCGCCGATGCACGCAATACTATGCGTTGTCGGTGGGGGCGACAGTGCAAGTAATATACATAAAAAGGTATATTATTATGTTTACAGAAAAAGAAGATTTGAATACAATGGCGGGCGAAAAGGAAAAGTTATGCGAGCTTGTTCTTATACATCCTTTGTTGCCGCCGATGTAAAATCATAGACAGTAAAAGAAATGGACAGAGCGATCTCATTGGAACTCAGTTGAGACAGTTGAAGCCCACTTTTAGCGATTTTTCAGAACTTCCGTTCCTGACGCGCAGACTCAGACCGACTCAAACTAAGCTTGATGACGTGAGCAACCTGTCTGACAGACGTTACTCTTCTAGTAGCTGTGCGTGAAAACTGCCAACGTTAATCTTGCAGAGACGGGGAACTTGAGCAAAGAGTTCTTTGGCGTGAGTGAGCAGGAGTAAGTATTCCGTTGCTTTTATGGACTCATTATCTATGGGCTTCTCTCTTGACGGGACGTCCCCCCGATTGCCAGCGAGCTTCTCCTCCTGTCTGTACGGTAACTTCTGTACAGCGCGACAGAGAGTCGAGTGGTTATGACGCAATCGTTAGCCTATTTTCACTAAATCTGTTTCTACGGGGCCATAGTGTAACATAGAAGGTAATGGAGCCCTTTATACATTGTCGTGGTTCTTTAGAAATAAATAATGGACAAATGGAGTCTTTAAACGCCTCAGATGTAAAGTTATTCGCTGTCAAAGTGACGCAAAAATGAATGGGAGTCAATGGAAATGCTAACGCAAGTGAAGTTCTGCTACAACATGGCGGCACCCGGCCGGCTTCAACTTCCGGTCGATGGATTACCCCCTTGTGTAAAATCAGCAATATGCACTCCTCTTCAGTTGCCATTTTGATCTGAATATCACGTGACCCGACTCTAGACTCTACTACCCCCTGTTGCGCGATCGGTGTATTGCATTTCACGCATCGCCGGTGACGCTTGCGTCTGCTTGCGTGCGTACTATGAAAAGGAGCGTGTAGCTCGCGTCACTCGCGTTGCTTGCTCGCGTTGACTATGTAACGGCCCTTAGTGACCACACTGTCACCCTTTGATGGCTTCCATTGTCCCTCCAACCCCTTAATGGAGTGCAGTGACACAAACAGTAAAAAGTTCCAGTGTTATATAGACCCCTTCACGGTTGACGTCACAGAAAAATTCGCGGTGCACAGTGCGCATGTCGGGGTCAGAAAGTTCATTCCATCGTGTTGTAACCATAGACTGTTTTAACCAGAGAATTTCTCGTCAACATGCCTTCTTGTTGCGTCGTGGACTGTGCAAATCGCACGAGTTGTGGAGTCAAATTTTTCAGGATTCCTGCAGGATCTCATCCTTTTCAAAAAAAGACGACATCTGTGGCTGCAAGCCATTAAACGGGCAGACTGGGACAACGCGATGATCAAAGAGGCTCGTGTTTGTAGCGCTCACATATTGATATAATTATGATAAATCTGAAATATAGATATCATATCTGGCCACTTGCTGACGTTGTCTACCCATTCTGTTATGAGCTCGGGATCAGGCAGACAATCGCCATTAACTAAAACAAGTTTGTTATGGTACTGTTCCCGTTCCTGTGGTGGTAAAGACAGTGCATAACTTGACACAATATGCCGGTCTATTAGCCGCGCCATTTTTCTGACCCCATGCTGCGCGCGCACCCAACCTAGGATTCCAATGTTTACAAACATTGAAGGGGTCTATGATTCGAGAACCGAAACTACTAACTGTTGTATAAATAATGCAAAGCAGTTTAGAAGCATCTCACAGAAACCTTTTTATATTATACCGTGAATCAGTTTAAAATGTTATATGCGCTTAAACAGTTCCATCTGTCTAATCCTGCTGACATCACTTACATCAGAAGAACCTTTGAAAGGTCATAACTGAAGTACAGTAGTGGGAGATCCAGTAAGGCAGATAATGAGGGCTCGTGTTTTCCCCAGCCTTAATTACGCCCCGTGCGGGAGTCCTTCCTTCTCAACTGCAGCAGACTGAGAGTGCTGTGCCACACAGCCCGTGCTTCACATTCATAATGAGCACCATACAGACCCCCGCGTCACGCTGCGGGACGCTCCGACTGTCCTCTCAGTTAACCGTCTGAGCACCTTGCCAAATAAAAGCCACTGGAACAAGATGAAAAACACCAGCAGCCAATTTGGGAGTTCTTTTACTGTTTAATGGGCCTCTTTAATCTGCGTCTGTGTCCTTTGCATGTTTACTCGAACACACCGGAGTTATTTGCTGATACATGTAAACATGATATTCTGGTGAGCTGGCAGTTAACGTTACAATGGCTGAGATTGATTAAAAAAAGATGTTTTGGAAAGAGGAGAACATCAGGAATGAGCGCAATCATACTAATTCGTGGAAGTGAACCACTATTGATGATGTATGATTCGATAAATCTGAGTGTTCTCACTCACTCTCCTGACATGCACAATAGTATCCAGCTGCAGACCCGCAGCACCACCACTTTCAGAACCCCAGCGCCAGAACCGGAAGTAATGGGCGGAGCTTACGTTCTAACACCAGCGCCAGGACCGGAAGTGAGGGGCCGAGCTTACGTTCTAAACCGAGTAACGCCACCTAACGTTTTGGAGCGTAGTTTGCTTAGACACGAAACGGAATTATTACACACGAAGCGTCATACTTTATACATATTATAATGATACATTAAGGTATAGTACAATAAGCATTTTAAAACGTTGATTTTGTGTAATATAATTCTATATAGTTATCCGTTTCATTGTATTATGAGAGTTACTTCCTGATCATGATGGTGAAAAATAATGCTTGAAACTTATGGTCATTTTATATAAAATATACTTTATTTCACAAGAACATGTGCAGCATGCATTTTTCTTTATGTAAAATAATGTCAAAAATCTAAAAAGAGAGAGAAAATCCGGCATTGTTTTAAAAGAAACAATAAAAATGTACCGTACTTCAAATAATAGCCGAGTCCCAAATAGACGATTGTCTCTTTACATGCCTGGTGTGGCTGCAGGTCTGGGTAAATATAAGGCCGGCCTCAAATAGAGGTCGGGTCTGTTTTTTAGTTTCAGGTTGTATTCTCAAACCCGTCAGATCATCCGCTTTTTGGCGGCCGTCAAAGCAAATTTTTGTCCCGCCAAAGCAAATTTTTGTCCCGCCAAAGCCTATTTTGATCGGTGAGTGATGTAGAATAGAATGACTGCTGCGCGTGACAGGGCGCTTAACGAGCAGAGAGAGAGCCCTGGCCGCGCGCGCGCACTCTGACGTCTTCGAACAACACGAGCGCTGTCTTGCTCTTTATTTGTCACATACCAGTTATAGTTCATACAACGAGCAGTGACTCACTGTGTAATAAAAACATACCCTAAATATTATTTAAAAGGTGCAACCATTTTAAATATTTTTAAATAGGCCTACTTGCAAAAATGTGTCATTGTAAATAATTCCGCCCCTCCCTCACTTCCGGTTCTGGCGCTGGGGTTCTGGCACTGGGGTTCTGAAACTGGTGGTGCTGCGGGTCTGCAGCTGGATATATCTCGACATGCATGACTGATGCACTGCTGCAAGCAGAGAGAATAGGCTATATCTTGTTTCTGCTTTTGCAGAACATTCACAGCAAAAATAGGCGCAAGTGCTGTTGTGTGCTGACGCTTTGAAAACAAAACCAAAAGTTCAAAAACCAAAATACAATAGTGAGATGAGCAACGCTATTTGTACCCAAATAATACAATGTGAACACAATCCAGCAGGGGGAGGGGGAGGGGGAGCAATCGAGACCAGGCAATCGAACCAAGTGTGAAACCCTTAAATGTTGGCAAAATTCACGTTCTTTTTTTCTTCTCAGTAAACATAGCAAAAATATTGATGACTCATACTGCACTGCCAGTTTTTTTGTCCAATTATATGCCTCTACAAAAAATACCTTAAGTATATGTATAGCCTACTACCATTCAGAAGTTTTGGGTCGGTAAGATTTTTTA